AAATGTGACCCCTTCGAGTGGAGGGAGGGACTTCCTTGGTCTCAAAATAAAAAACCTGTTATTATGGATTTATTTGTTGAGGGAAACCTGTGTAGCTTAACTTCCCCTAAAAGACTTTACTTTTTTTAAGAGCACAAGAAGACCCTCGTGATAGAGAGAATGATCTTAGAGAGACTTTCCCACATCATTTTAATTTTCTGAATTAGTTTTTTGTAATAAGCAAAAGTAAATTAGTTTTGGTTATTCCAAATCTTGATCTCACTGGATTGACTTTCACAAAAAATCATTGAATATTTTGAAGTATTTGTTTCCTATTGGGATCTTATGTGACCAGCCAGTACAGAGTGGTGAATGATAGTCAAGTGGAAGGAAAATAATAAATATTTTATACATTTTTTAAATTACATTTCTGATAAAACTAAACAGTGTAGTGGGAAATTGTTTTTTAACCTTCCTAAGTCAGTTCTTCAAAGAACTATTTAGAATGTTTCTGCTTCTGTTATTAAAGTGTGATAGTCTGCCAGTATTTTTTATTTATTTTTTTTTTTTTTTTGCAAATCAGTCAGACCAGATATAGAATATCTGTGAGTCACAAGACTTACATGTTATCAGTCTGATTAAAGTCTAGAGACTGACTTGGCCATCCTAATGAGCCCTTTTACTCTCTTTAAAATGTTTACAGATGTTGTTCTGCTGGAATATTAACCTCTGCCTTAGTCTCAAAAGAATTTGCACCTTTATACACTGCAAAAAATTGGAATCTAAATTAGTGATTTTTTTTTCTTGCAATAAGTGCATTTTTTCTTTCATTGTGAAGGTAAGTGAGACACTTTACCAATGGAAAAAGAAAATTAACATTTAAGATAAGAAAAAACAAATGCCTTGTCTTATTTCAAGTACATATTATCTAATCATCTTATTCTAAGAGTAAAAATACCTATTCCATTGGCAAATTATCCTAATAACCTACTCAAATTAATGGTAAATACACTTAATTTAAGACATTTTTGAACTTCCTTAGTTTTTGCAGTGCAATGGCTTTCCTTCCAGGACACCTCTCTATTAAAGTCTGTCTATCATCCAATCAACTTATAATATTATTCCCACTTTATGGTGCTTCCATCTCCATATTTTGCAACATAAATGCTGTATTCCGGGTGATGTTTAATTACACAAACATTGTTTGCAAATAGACTAAATATGGATATTGTGGCTTGATCCAACCAGGATTCTTTATTCCACATGCTTGCTGTGTCCCCTTAATAGCTTGTGGAAAATTGCAAGCAATACTTCCTTTTTTATTTCTTTTCAACAGTGCTTCTTCCTTCCCACTCATTTTTAAAGGTCGGATTTCTAGAGTACATAAGAAATAGTTGTCCCGTTATTGAACGTAAACTGTGGATCTATGTAGCTCCTACAGAGTCACCACAGGTCTCTGGGCTTTTTCTCTGTCTAATTCTCACCCTGACTAACCTGTTGGTTGAGCTAGGCGGCCATTACTTGCTATGTTGGCAGCGTGAAAGCTAGGCTTTTATTTTTTTAATGATAGATAGAAGGGTGCTTTGTGAATTGTTTGCTTTATAACCTGAGGTTGTCACACCCTACTCTTTTAACTGACTGGATGACTGTTGAGGATTATTCATTATACTTGGCTTTATCTAAGAAGACTGTATGAATCATGAATACATGTAAATGTAACACTGTAAAATCATTATTTGAAAAGTAAAGTCAGGGGCGTTCATCATTTTGCACCTGTTTCACTGCTCCATGCTGCTATCACACAGAATCCAGAAAAAGGAAGATAAAACAGTTTTTTTGTAATGTTAAAATTTTTTAAGAATTTACATATTTTTTGTTCTTGGGCTTTCATCAAATTATCACAATGTCCTACCGTTGTGTGTTTCAGTCTTCAGAAGTCTTTATGTTTTCATTTAGCTGCTCACCACACTCAATAAAATCACTAAGTTAACATTACAAAAATGCTAATCTAAATAAGTAATTTTTTCTTTAAAAAAAATCATTTTTTCTTGAGGTAAGTGAGACACTTTGCTAACAGAACAAGACAATTTACATTTAAAATAAACAATAATTGCATTGTCTAATTTCAAGTGCAGATTATCTGCTTATCTTCTTTTAAGATTAAAAATACTCATTGTATTAGCAGATCATCTTATTTACCTACTCAAATTAAGGGTAAATACACTTAATTTAAACCATTTTTATTTATTTATACATCATTTTTGCAGTGAATAAAATCCCTGTTCCAATAGATCCTGAAGATCTGATCAAGCTCTCTGATATCACTTTATTTGCACTCTGCTTTCACCATTTTCTTCGTAATTTCTAATTTGTAATGCTGCAGTAATGCTGTCACTGTAAGTTTTATTTGTTCTGAGAGGCTCCAGTGGTAACAAGTCATCAGAGCAGGAGAGGTTGTTGCAGTACATGCTGTCACCAACACTTTACCATAAACATACAAATAAACAGGACCATTATCCTCTGTCACATCTCATGTGCTGATATACAAGTAGCCCTTGTGGCTTTTAAGTAGGAAGTGATAAATGTTGGATTAATATAAAATGTAAAAATGCTTCATTGCAGGTATGATTAGTATAAACCATCCTGTGAAATAGGAAGTGGTAAATATAGAGTCAACATCTAATTCAGCATCTCTATATTCTACATATTGTGGCCAAAATGTCTGGTTTTGTAATAATAAATAAGATGTTACTTATATCCAGAACAGTCCACCTTAAAAGCAAGAAAAGCTATCAGATGGTAAAATGTTAACGTGCAGTGTTTAAACCAATTCTAATTGGTCTAAATAGCTTCAAACTAAAAAGTTACTGAGGGCTGCTTTGAAAGTTTACATCAGCTTTCCAAAAAGGCCAGAAACACCTTTGGTTAATTTGTTTTTTGTTGCATAAATGGAGAAAACGTCCCTGTCATTAAGGCCATTGGTGAACACATTCTATTTAGAAATGCATGAGTGAAACTGCACCATCTAAAATATGTGCATACACTAAAATGTGTTTTAATGTATAAAGTTCTTAAACATCCCCTCATTTTAAGCTTTGCACAGCAAAGTAGGATCTTAAATCTCTTCCCTTTGCATCATATCATATTTCAATCTTATGCACAATGATGTTCAAGCGTTTGTTCTCTGAAGGCTGATTTATACCCAGGTTGTCCGCGCGTTTGGTGCAGTTAACGCAGATATGCACAGGGGATGGATGGATACCGTCCCCTGTCACATTTTATCACTGAATGTGTACAATTCTACTAGCAACAACCATGGCAATAATATCATCCTTTCAATGTTTGGCAGGCTGTGGGTTTACATGTAGCCTGAGCAAAATAAATAAAATCAAAGAAGCGTCCTACCATGATTATTAAGCTGATCCCAGTGGGAAATGAGTCCCTAACTATGTAGGGGCAATGATAGCCATGCCAGTCCAGGGACTGACTGCAGTTTTACTGAAAGGTGCCTTGGTTAAGGTCAATGACCAGCGTACCTGACATGGAACAACAATACCATGCATATTGCTGTATGTTAATAGACTATATTAATTAGGCTATGTATGCTTCCAAAAAATAATAATAATAATTCTACCATAAATAATAATAATAATTCTACTCTAGAGTTTTTGCGTCACATCCTTAATGATCTGATTGGTTCTAACCTAATGAAGCTGACCCTGTTAGCCCCTCCCTTAAAATTGAGCTGTACTGGTTTCATCAATGATGAAAACATTCTTTAAAACACAAAATGTGATTCCTTACATTTTTTTTTCTTGTAACAACCAAAACATTGGGATTTCTTATCCGTCACCAAAAGTCTGTAGAAATCTCTTCTCCAGGCTGTGAAGCAGGTTTTCTGTGTCATATGGTCCACAACCAACTGTGCTTTTTGTAAGTCTTGCTTCTGTTTACTCTAATAGGTCCTGAGCCCAATTTAACTAGTTAGAATAAGCTCAACATTCAGCCTAGGGTTATTCACACCTTGTCAACAGTTTATTCCGCCCTTCACCCATTTCATTTACTGGCACAGTAAATTTGGGACATGGTGGTATAGGTAAGACAGAATCCTGAAGGGCAGAACATGGTTAACTTATAAAAACTAATGAACAGAGGTGAAATTGGAGACTCCTTTACCCTTGTTTCCTCACTATCATCAGCCATGCTATCTTGTTTTCTCTCTGTCGTCTTCCAGATTGGTAGTGACAGAGCAGAGGTGCGAGAATGACCCCGAGCTGTCATTGTTTTCCTGTGAAGCCCTTCCTTCTCCCTCTCTGCTCTCCTCAGGGAAGCATATACAGGTGATTTGTGTCTGAGAACGCAGCTATTGTGTGTTCAATTTTTCTGAAAGCCAACAGAAAGTGTTTGAGATCACTCACCTGAAATGTCATTGGCACCCAAACAGAGTGTCCATCACTATGTTTTCAAAATGACAGGGGAGCCATTAGCCGGCTGAGAGTGTGTGTAATGTGATGAAATTGGGTGGGCTTGTGATGTTGGAGAGGCTGTCTTCTATCATCTGGGGAGCATCTGTACGTGAAAGATGCAGCAGAACTTGTTTCTACAGATACCATATGGTTTAGGTGAAAAAAGGCAATAGCCTTTTCCCTTTTTTGGTGACATTTGCAGTTTGTCACTTGTTTATATGTGCACCGCTGCACATGCTGCATCGTGACGACACCTTTCTGTAAGCAGCATGAAAGCAATGGGAAATCATCTGGTGGTCTGCTGCATTGGGACATACAGTGTTGCAGGCAGAAATACACACATGCATGCTCACATCCCCCCACCCGTAGCTCACCCTCTGCAAACCTGCCATTCTCAGGTCCATGATGTAATGCCAGCAGACCCCTCCTCTGCTGATTCTCCCTCCCTCCATCTTTCACACACTCCTCTCACTCCTTCTCCTCTTTTGATTGGCTGCTCCCGTCTGCATCTGCTGGATCAGCTCTGACTCCTTGCACACATGCACACCCTTACGCACACACAGCCACATCTCCAAGCTCCCTCTCACACACACTGTTACACATACACTACCAGGGGGATTCCTCCGCCACTGCAGCCTCTGCTCCAGTCTCCACCTGGCTCCCATCCTCACCGCTGGGGAGGTAGAAACCACCCGGTGAGTACATAATTTCTTTCTTTCCTTTTATGACAGCTGGTGATTGTGGCTCGCAACAAGACAAAAAGGATGAGAGGATGCTGATTTTTCCTGCAGACAGCCACAGACAAACGCCGGGAGGCAACGCCACTGCAGCCTGGGAGGATAGGCGCACAGCTGAGTTAGAGCGTGGAGTGATGAAGTGATGTGAGAGGAAGCTGCTCAGTTACTCCAGATACCGGTCATCTAAGCGCACGGTGCCATGGCAGAGCGATGCTTCCAGGGAGGCTGCAGGCTTCACACATGTCTTTGACAGGGAAGGATGCTGGAGTGCACATGTGTTAGGTGAGGAATGACTTTGCTTGCATTTGGGTGCTCATTCTGGATGACATAGAAACCTTCAGTCTCTTCCTGGGTGTTGGGTGAAATGTCAGTCACCTTGGTGTAGAGATATAAGGGGAAAGAGAAAAACTGCAGGGGAATGAAGTTCCTTCCTGCAGTCTGTTTTGGTCCCTAACCAAAGGACTATATAGTGGCCCTGATAAATCCCTGACAGTCCCATTATGTTCCTTTAATTCCCTCCTGATGCCACTGAACAAACAGGGTGTGTACATGGAGCGTGAAGCTGTGCTTCTGTGACATTCGGGCTCTTGCTGTGCTCTAGTTGTCTCCTTTTTTCTTATGTGAACTGGGCTCTTTTTCTGAGACTTGATGACACTGAGCATAATAGGAAAAGTAATTCTATTATCGCCTCAGCTTTTCACAGCTAAATGACACATTGATGATAATGGAAGTGGGCGAAAGGAAATCACTCGTCTGTTCTTCTCCCTCAGCTCATTCTGGTCAATTTGAAACTTTTGTGCGTTGAAATGTTAACATTTTTTTTTCACAGTGGCTCTATTATGCTCTGCTTTATGTAGAGTATAATAGAAATCATTTTACTGTTTTTCCATTTTTCTTTGATAGGCTGAGTTAGTAAAGGTTCTATATTGAATTTCCATACTAGAAGCATAAATGATCACTTCCAGTACTTTCTATGGATTAAAGTTTAAAAGGACTTACGTATTATTGTGTTCAAACCCTTAGAACCACCTTCGCCTGCTACACCTTTCATTCTAAGTCAATGCTAGGTCATTTAGAGATGATTTTGATTATTTCTTTACAAAACATCTGTAAATTGCATTTTTTTTGACCCAGATTCTCATTTTGGATTTATTTCTGGACTTCAACTGAGCCATTCTAGCATGTGAAAATGCTTTGATAAAACCAGTGGTTGCCAGTCCTGGTCCTTGGGCTCTGCTCTCCATCATGTTTCAGATGCTTTCTGCTCCAGCAGACCTGTTTTTAAATGACTTTATTACCTCCTCAGAATGCCATGACATCCTACAAAGGAAACCCAAACCTGCATTGATATTAGGTGTAAGCAGCAGAAAACCAATGGAAAACTTGGAGGACAGTGGATCATAAATCATTCCTTTTCAGACCTGGTTGTATCTTTAGGGTTCTTGTCATATTGTAATTAAAACCTCCGCCCCAACCTCAGGTTTTCACACTGATGCTGTATTTAGCTCAATCCATCCATTAACAGTTTGGCTTAGTTGCTGCGCTGAATTGTTTTTTTCTTTCAGGTCTAGCTTCTTTTCCCTGCTGAAGCAAAGCACCCCCACATCATCACACTACCACCATTTTTCACCATTTGGGGAATGAGTTCTTCAGGTGCTGGGTTAGATTTCTGCCATGCATAGGGATTTGTAAGGAAGCCAGTTAAGTGAAATGTTTGGCCTTATCTGATTTTTTCTGTGGCCTCATCATTAAAACTCATCACAACCCACAAACTTGTTGGTTGTGATCCCTTTTAGGGCCCTTGATCAACCAGTATGGGGTATTGAGATCCAATACAGACATTAAGCTAAACAACAAATATGTATGTTTAAGTGTTTTAAGGGATGAAAGCATCACTTAAAAACAGACAAAACCAACAAACTTGGTTGCTGATGTCTTTTTTCAATGTCATAAATTCCTGGTTAATTGATTTTATAAAAATGTTTGTAAATGTAACCAATACTCTGGTACCATTTTGTGGTTCAGAATTAAGAGTTTGGTTGTGTCTGCCTGTAACAAACTGGTCAAGCTGGGACTTTCCTTCAACGGCGGCTTTCTTCTAGTTCTGCAGCTAAAAAAAAGGATATTTTAGTGGATGTTTCTCACATTACTGAAGCTCCTCAAAAATTTAAGGTTCAGCACTCAACTTTCACCCTTTATCCGCCCTTATTTTAGTTATATTTCATGTAAATAGGAAAACCAACATTCAGTGATGTTTATTAAAGAACAGACTTGGACAAGCTCTCATTGATTTTGGTAAAATAAAACCACAGTTAGCCATGTTTCCTGATGATGAAAATATACAAAAAAGCTTGCTGTTCTTTTTAAAAAGGCAAAGGTATTTTTATTGTTGAGCAAAATATAGTTTTCTTTTTTTTCCAATTTAAATCAAATAAAATGAGAAAATATCATCTCTTCCGAACATTTGGGACATTGTTTCCAAGCCTTTTCCTGCTTTAAACCTCCCCACAACCTCCCTTACCCCCATTCTGTGCTTTTTGGTCTTTGTAAGGTTGTTTCTTCACTCTTTGACAAACATATGGGGCCTTGACTCTGAATTAAGGGCGTACAACAGAAACACCATTTTTATTTCGAATAGGTTGAGAACTTCAGAGTTCTACTAATAAGGTTGCTTCTGTAGGTAAAGATGTTTCACTGGATTTTATTTAAGGGCACAAAAATCTATATTCAGCACATATTGTAGATTGTGATTTGTAAATTGTGTAAACCATGCATCATTTTTCAATAGATGCATTTGAATGAACCTGATTAACCAATGAGTTGTCACCATAGCTTTGCTACAGCACAAAACAAATGATACATTTTACCCCTGATAATCTGCACGTTTATTTTTTTACTCTGTAAACCAGTCAGCTCTGCTTTGCTCTTCACCAAACTCATTATTAATTAGAATGAATCCAGCAACCATCCACCCCCTTTATTAGACCCCCTTTATGAGATATTTAGAGACTCAGCTGGCCTGATTTGCATTAGGGCCCCTCATGAAACTCTGCAAGCAAACATGTCAGTTGATTTCTTTGTAATCAATGATTAGCACATGAAAAGACTCTTCCTGGAGGCTATTTAACTCTGACATGGACTCTGTGGGCATAAATGGAAAGTAATTATGATTGTGGCCAAACAGAAAGCTAATAAACCGACGAGCAATGAGGAAGTGGAGCACGTCTTCAGCTCCCATTGGCTGTTTGGATGGTATGTCTGTACTTAGGAGGTTTGATGAGTGGTCATACTGAGATAGATTATTGATTTCATGCTGTTTCAACCTCATTACATCTGACAACAGATGCTGTGTCTCCACTCCGCCGCAAAGACCTTTAAAAGGAAGCAGCTCATATTAACCCCATGCGCTGTTCTTTGTAGATCATCTTCTTGAAACAGTTTGTAGGTTTTCATACAGTATGGTGTGAAGGATTACTTTGGTTCACTTGTTTTTACATAAAATCTGTTGCAGAACCATGTTGGTACCGCTTCCCTCATGAGCAAACTGGTTGGCGCTGTCCTCACTGGCTGCAGAATCAATGCCAGCTAGAATAAACATAAAAAATGTTGCCTTGAAAACTTGACTCGGCTACAATCTGAAAGAAAAATGCATTCATCCTTGGAAGGGTATAACTACCTTTGATTCTAATCACAGCCTAAAGAAGAACCTTTCTTATTTCCATACAGAATTCATCTGTGTTTTCCATCCAGTCTGTGCAGGCTTCATGCATATCAGCTGTTGTTTCTCTTCATTTTATCCAAAGGCTTAATAGCTTTTTTTCCATTTGACCTAAATGTTGAGTATTTCCAAGAACATTACGTGCAAAGGGGCCCCTGTGTTTATCTGGTGCTTCCATTCCCAAGTGGCGTTCTATTATAAGTTCCTCTGAAACTGTCTTGCAGATGTCATTCATCCACTTCAAAATATACTGTCAAAGGAAAAATGTTAAGCATTCAAAAGTGTTCAGTTTAACTTATTTTCACATGACTTTGCCTACAGATCCAGATGCACCAATCTCAGATTTTCTCTGACCTGCTCATACTGATTTTATTCTGTTCTAATCTCTCTCTAAGAACTTAAATTATTTAAAACAATATTCCTAGTTTTTGGATTAATCAATTTCACACATTCTGCACAAAGTTAGGGCTGTCTTTCCCTGCATCAACAAAAACCTCTATATCTTCTTTGATCCTCTTAGTTGTTGCACAGGTGTATTTTTTATAGTTATAACCAAACCAAAAAAAAATCACATAATGTATGCTTTACTCCTTAAAATGTCAGATTATAGCTCACTAGTTGTTTTATCCTCTCTTTTGTCCAGCTATAAAAGAAATGTGCACCATTCTGGCATCTTTTTAATATAACAGTTTTGTCTAAATTCTTAATAGTTTATCAATCTATTGCAAGTGGGCACAAGCCTAAACAAGCCATTTCTGTCAGAATGTTTTAATGTGTTTACATTAGGAGTGTCACTCTGTGTGTTTGGGAGAGCAGTCGTTCACACCGAACATGGAAGCAGTGTTGGAGCAAGGGTTTGTATGTCTCTATGTGACAAATAAACGGTCAGAGATAAGAAGTGAATAGCACAAACTGGGGGATCAGTTACTAACAGCAGTCCTTGTGGGTATTTTCTATAAAGTTAGATCCTTACCTTCCCTCTCAGATTAAAGCCCTGAACTCGCAAAACATGAAAAAGTTGTGTCGTAAGCGAATGTGGCGTTTAGCACTCATTGAGACTCAATAGTGATGATGACACCCAACACGATTTTCTCCAAGGGGGATTTGCATAGCTCCAACCGAGATACACCGTAGGTCTGTTTTTGTCGGACTATGCAGCAATTTAGTTGCAATTTCATGGATCTGAAAGGAAGATTTAGTTGCAAAGTAAAACACATTCTTTATGAGGGGAAATCCAAAATAAAATCTGCAAATCACAAGACAAAAACAGTCAGGTTTACCCCATTTTGAATTACACGGAAGCAGGTGGGAAAGACTGGGACATAAGCACTGAATATATAATTTTAATGAAAAGAATACTTTACCCATGACGGAAGGACAAAAAATGGATCAAGTAAAATAAAAATCCTCTTAAGGCCTCGAAAAACAAAACAACAAGCGACGCTGCAGGACACGCATCACTTATCACTCTCCCCTCTTTATAAAACCAAAAAAACCTTCAATCAATAATACAGATCGCTCACTGATATCCCTTTTCCACTGGCTAAAAAAATGTTTAAACCCA